TGCCCCATCCCTGGCAGTGTTCAAGGGCAGGTTGTACAGGGCTTGGAGCAACCTGCTCTAGTGGAAGGTGTCCCTGCCTGTGGCACGGGGCTGAAACTGGATGAGCTTTAAGGTCCCTTCCAACCCAACCAATTCTATGACTCTATGAATAGCACAGAAGAGGTGGTTGTCACTCCCAACGATGCATGTGGCATCCAGAACATGCAAGAAGAGCAGCATGTGGGTGAAAGCAGAGCAGAGAGTTCCCCAGGAGTTTCACAGTGTTACTTTACCACTCAGACAGCAACGCTCTGGGGGTGCGTGGAGAAGAAGTGACAGTTTCAGCCTGATGAATCTCCAGCACAACTCCTTGACAAGATCACTGCAGAAAGTTGTGAGAAGCTCCTTGTTCCCCAGAGCCAGAGGTGGGCGACTGTCTGACCAGAGTCCTGTTCCTTAGCTGAGGTTCAAGATACCAGCTCTGGCCTCTGCCACGGCAAACACTCTGAAGAGGCAAAGCTGCAACTGCAATACTGTGAGGAGCCCGCGCTGTGCCTGGTGTTTTTACCTAATACAGATCATAAACAATTGCAGTCACTGAGAAACTTCCTGCTTGGAACTGGCTCCAGATGAACGAAACTGCTGAACACACCACCATCTTGGAAAAAAAAACCCCAAACCCAAGACAATGCAAAATCCAATGCCTCTATTTAGAAGACAATAATACATTTTAAAAATATGTTTCACTCTCTACGTCTAATGGAAATACTCCTCCACAAGAATGTTCTTTTAATCAGGGGAAAAAATACCTTTGTGATTTTTAGAACAAGTTTCCGCTTGACAAGTAAGTGTTATGACTTCTCAAGGCCCTATGCATACCTTAACATGGAGATGTGCTTTTATCCTCAACAGTCAACTACCAAGTCTGTATTCACATTCAACCAGCTGACAACCATGACACCAATACCAGTGGAACAAGAACACCATTTTTGTACCCTCCACCATCAAGAACAATGTTGTATGGTCTGAAAAAACCCCAGACCTTAAGGAGAAACACATCGTAACATGCAGTGGGGTCCTGTTCCGAGTTACAACAGTGAAGAGGTCTATACAGCATCACACCTCAAACCATCAGCCTCCTTTTACTTGAGAACTAAAGATGGTGAATGAGGTTTCACTCAGTGTTTTGGATTAGTTGTACAAATACATTTGTGAAAGGACTGATAACATGAATAACACACAGTCAGTGCATACTGGTAGTAAGTAGCACACAACACTTGACAGAAAAGATAAGCCTAGGCCTACAGCCCAGCCGTCCATTGTTCCAGGGCACACGGGAGCCTGCTGTGTTCCAAGAAGGTCCTTTGCAGCCCACACTCCCAAGGCCATTTGCAAATGTCCCTCATGTTGTTTCTGTATTGATTCAGGCCATGTTATTTTCAATGATACAGTGGTTATGATCATCTATGGCTGTCAGTGCAGGTACAAAGAGAGTGCAGGGTTGGAAAAAGCAGGTTCTCAAGCAGTTTTAAAATGTACTTGTAACTTAGCTGGTATGAAAAGTCTCCTCCCTTTAAGACAATGCAGCTTGTCTTCCGTATCTATACCACAAAAAGTTACACCTGACACGATCGTTTCTCTGCGGTAGAGAATGCTGGGTAGTGGTAGTTGGTATTAGGTCAGCTCTAATAGTTTATTCTCCAAGCTCATGTGTTAAAGGAAACCTACTAAGATGTCCTGATGAGCGGCGACCTTTCATCTTCAGTACTCTGAAAGGAAAAAAATCACAACACAGTGAGTTAGATGTGGCACATCAGAGAATTTCCATGAGGGGGAAGAAGCTGCATGGCTGAGACTCCAGACAGGAGAGGAAAAAGCTCTTGGCTCCTACTTCTAAGTACAGTTTCCTGTAAGAGAACCAGCACTGCACTATAAAAATACCAGAGGGTGAGTGGCAGCTTTCAGCCTGGACCTCGGGCTCACAGCAGCACCTTACAGATGATAGAAGGCCCTGCATGGAGAGGATCACAAGGAGAGCTTTAACTAGCTGAATTACTTCTGTTTGCAGGAAAATCAACAAAGGCAATGTACAGAAAACATGGAATTTAGGTGTTCCTTTGTCATTTTAATCCCTGTGCAGTGTTCAGGAACACGCAAAAGTGATGGTGTGAAGCTATACCTGTAGGGTGGGGCAGGAATGCCTGGGACAGGGGCCTCAGGCAATGGGACAGTTTTGACTCTATAGCTGAGCCAGCAGTAACAGGCAAGCTCAAAAGCTCAATGGCAAAAGTCTCTCTTGTAAAGGAACCTGAAGTACAGTTCTGAGAGCATACGCTCATGAACAACTTTTGGTTCATGACAGAATCAAGAATAAAGCCAAGACAGCCAAAGATCAGCTTCTCAAAGCCACCACTTGAGGCAAGGAGGCTGCAGATCTTGCTGCCAAAGTGCCACCACTGCTGCCACTACCATCACGCCCCTGATCTCGCTGGACTAAGACATGAACAGGGTGGCTGGGTGCTCTACAGGTAGGTGTGAGGGCTTTTTCTCACATCATTGTAAAGTCATATTTAGGAAACACCATACAAGCAAGATCACACTAAGACAACAGCAACTACAGGGAGAAAACAGCCTACTAGAGTACCCAGTCTATTTCTCTAACCAGAGGATCTGTAGTTTATCTTGTCTGAACCTGACTGCTTTGCCTGTGAGGGTGAAATTCTGACATCAGCTTTCCACATGACTAGCAACCTTAATGCCAGCATGTCACTTTGTGACAGGACTTTTCATAAGCAGACCTACAAATCAGCGTGCTGCCGTCTGTAAAATTCATACGTTCTGTTGTCATAGATTTGCATTATGATTCTGAAAATTGTTTCTGAGAACAGTGTCAGATTGTGTTCTGACAGTGTTCTTAAATATAGTGGACTTCTTACATCTTATCCTCCAGGGTCCTCTAGACAGGCTGATTTTTTTCTTTTACTACTGTTAGCAAGGGAATTGGGCACAAGACACATGACCTGCCTTACCACATTCTTCATATTAGCTCCTTTCCTTTGCTTTGGTGATTTAGTCTGAGTCTATTAGAACTTCCCTTCCCTAGAAAGGTCATGTTAAACAAAAACAACGTATAAAAATGTTTGTGTGCACAAAGACACTGAGCAGGTAAAAAGCAACAAAATCAAATACAGGCAGATACATAGTAAGCAAGGCCAAATTCAAATGCTACTGACCTCTTCACTTATTCCTCGGGACCTGCACACCAGCACAATAAAAACAATCCCAAAAACAATTCCTAGAGCCATGATTATGAAGGGGATTCCAGTTACAACACTGGCTTCCAGCAGGACGTGCTTGAGTTTGCTGGCAGATGCTTCATCAATCAGAACACTCTGGAGGAGAGAGATGTGAAGAGGTAAAAAAAAAGATTGGTTTCTGTTCTTCCTTTGTATGAGATTGCTTTACCTAGTCTGTATTTCAAAAGAAAGTAGATTTTTAACTCTCAGTTTAGGCATGGAATAATACAGGCCTGGAATAATAGTGTACATTATTGAAACTGGTACCCTGGAGTCCTCCCCGAATCCAATTCAGTGATCCAGCTACAGCACAGGAATATTCAAAACAGATGACGCAAAAAAAGATGTGGTCTTCTGAACTCCCACCTCCTCATCTGAGCATCCCCATGGGCCTTTGACCCTTTCAAAGACCTTTGAAATTAAAAGGACTGTTTGACTGAGAGTGTTTTGCAGGGCTGAACTTGATACTATGGTCAACAAGCAGCAGAGGATGTTAGTTAAGAAACAGCAACAGCTTCCTACCTATCACTGTATAAAGGTGATCAACAGCATTTTCTTTTCTGGTTAGCTCAAAACCAGTGTTTTTGTCAGTATAAACAGCACAATGTTGCAAAGAAACAACAAAAATGCTTACCTCATTTATATACATGACCGGGAAAATCAGCGTTCGAATGTTGCCCGTTTCACTGTGTGAGAAAAAGCAACAATAAAAAAATCATTGTTTCACAACTTTTCAACCTGAGGGTTCTGAAGACAGATTATAATAGAACAACAAATGAGGAAACTCTGGGATGTTCCTTTTTGTGGTTGATTTTCACCTCCCTCCTGGAGTAGAACAATCTCATTCTCCAAGATGGATAGTGAATGCTGTTTTGGGAGCAATGGCATAATTAGGGGCTTGGTGGGGAGTAAAAGAGAAGGATCCATAAGAGGCCCATTAATCACCAACTGAATGGCAGATTTGTGCCAGTCAGCAAGAATGCCAAGCTAAGCTGATGCTGAAGGTTACTCATATTTGCAAAACACAGAAACTATTCTCCAAGGAACATGCTCACAGCAGCAATCCTCCTTTCCCCCCCCAAATTTGGCACACAGAAAATAACAGCTTATGCATCAGTTGTGTTAATGTAACAGTTCCTAGACACTAGAAAATAAGGTGGTGCTGGTCTGAAGGAACATCACTGACTCTTCCAGGAGTATGAGGCAGGTAAAATACTTCTGTTTTATACAATATGTAGCAAAGCTGTGCCAATAAACACATGCTCAGAGGCTGAGTAGGAAGAATAGCTACCACACAGGCTTAGTGACAAGCAAATCACTATGTCAGAAAGACATAAGGTGCAGGGTATTTCTGCACAACTGAGCTGCAGTCTGGGGATGTGCAACTCAAAATGGAACACCTAGAAAACCAGACAGAATCCACCTGCAACAAAGATGACATGGGGGATTTTACCCACACATTTCTTGGGATTGTACCCTTTTCCTGTTTGTAGGATTGTACTTACTGCCAAAATTGCAGTACAAAGATTTCTCTTTACTATATCAATGCAGTCACAGGCAAGATCCTTTCACCTGATCAAACAAGCCCTCTCTTGCCTGCTGTTGTGAGACATTAGCACTCAGTCTGTGTTTTGTGCTTGCTGGGGAAAGGCAGGGGCAGCCCTCATGCCTTTTCATTTGGTTTTCATGTGATCACTGCTGAGAAACGATGGTAACTGCAATATTTATCTCCTGCAAGCTGTGAAGAGTAGAATGGCATGTCCTCGCTGCAGTGAGTCTGAGCTGCACTCCACGGTGGCAGACCCTCCCTGTGAGCAAACAAGCCAGTGTGATACATGACTGATGCACCACAAGCACCACATGGAACTTGTCCATAACATCTTGCTTTTCTTGAATACTGCTTTTACTCTGCAGATGGAACTGCAAAATCTACTTGATCTGTGAGAATAGAGGATACTGCCACTTAAAACTGAGATTTGAGTGGATTTCTCTACCACTTGCTCTCTCCAACCAATATTCTATTTGAACACTGCAGACAAATTAATTTTGAGTATCAAATCAGATGTGAGATATCTACCTAGCAGCAGAGAACACTTACAAAAATTCAGGTAATTTTCTGATGTGAACATTGATCTGCATCCTCTTGGCTGCTTTCAGGACGAGCCCTGTCAACTGGGAATAAAACAAATCAGAGTATCAAAAAATAATAAAAGCGTACGGCCACAGGGACAATGAGCAGGAAACACAACACAGTAACGGCTGCAATGGGATGCACAGGAATATTTTCCTCATTCAAGCAGCAAAATTAAGTCTGGAGAGTGGGTGGGAGGGGGAAGGTGCCATTTGTGGCAGTACTAAAAAGCTGGGTAAGTAGGAGCAGGGTCATGGGAAGAACCTGGCACCAAACCAGATACCAAGCAGCAGCTGCCTTAGACCTTAAGAGAGGAACATTTTCCTCCTGCTTTGCCCTTCTGATTCTCTCCCCCATCCTGCTTGGGAGAGAGGGAGTGAGCAGCTGTGTGGTGCTTAGCTGGGGCTAAACCACAAGCGTAAAAAACCACAGACCATCACTTCCAAGCTCCTTTTATTTCTGACATTTCATGGTGAAAATACCAGCAACTCTGTAAACATCCATGAAAGATGTAATCACTACGCTTCTGTAACTCTCCTCTCATGACTCCACGCTACCTAAATTGAGTCCAACATCCATGGAATATTGATTTCCTCTCTTGGTCTACATACCCAGTTTCTTCAGCTTGGGCAAAACACAGTCAAGATAATACTCAGACAGTTGGGATGGCAGGGTGAACCAGAAAAGTAGCCTCATCTGTTTCTAAGAAATATTTTAACTCTTTCATCTCATCATTACCAGTCTGATGGCATCTCTAATTACACAGCACAATGGGAAATGCATTTCAATTCTTGCTATCCAGCAAAGTTTGCTCTATACAAGGAAAAATAAGTAGATCAGTTCCACATAAACTAGTACAGCTTCCTTGAGGTCAATGGAACAATGTTGATAAACACCATCCAAGAAGGTGACCTAAACCCATGTGCTTGGATTCCTTATATAACCGTTTTAAAAAGGCTGCACTTACAGGATTGATGTCCAGAAATGTCTCGTGATACTCCTTTTTTGGGTGCATGCCCTCTATGTCCTCTATAAACTTTTGATCTGCTTGGTAGAAATGTGGAGCTGATAGAAATATTGGAGCACCTAGAATGTGAAAACATAAAAAGTCACCACCTCAACAAGACAGAGCAGGATTCAAGGACGTCCGTGAGAACCTCAAAACTCATCATTGTGCCATTTACACTGAAAGGGAAAGTCCATTCTGGAGCTAAAGAATCAACACTCTTGACTCCCTGTCTTCAGAACAAGCCATATCTTCCCTTGTGCATCATCAGCACAGCTTCATGTCTCATGTCTGGTACTTCCTTCTGATTCCTTGATTTAAAACATTGCTGGAGCAGACAGGATCTGACAAGAACATCCCCTCAGATCGCTACTGCATTTTACAACCAAATGATCACTTGTTGGTGGCTGATTTCACTGAGCACAATCATAACCCTACAGGCCTCACCAAAGTGTCCTCATACATTTCAGACAGAAAGAAGTATGTTCCCCGTTGACATTCTTCCAGTCTGCTTCCACCTCCTGGTAACATACCTTGCTTACAGACGCTGACATTGAGGACACCAGTGCCAGGACAGTTTCCCGGCGGTACGCAGAATCCAGCATTGCCTGGGTTAACCGTTGTGTTGGCAAATACCATAGCAGAGGGCACAAAGCGGTAGGTTGGAATGCCTGCAACAGTTCCCGAGCTGTCGTACACCAAGTACAAAGATCTGCAAGGAAGAAAAGCCAGACCCCAATTTGTTATGTCTTGAGCACTTGTCTGTGTATCTACTTAAGTTTGCAGTAAGCTACAGCCTTCGTTTAAGCCCATTCCAAAGATCTTAAGTATTAAATTTATTAGGCTTCTGATCAGCAAATGCACATTCCATCACTCTGCTGCTGCAAAGAATAGACAATCCTGTGTCAGCTGTGCTGCTCCAGGGACACTAATGCCTGCTTCCAGCATTTTGGGTCTCACTGTAGCCCCCATGTTGCTATTGCCTCTTGCATGAGACAGCAATTGTATGTACTACTGAGAGGGACAAGGAAATGAATATAGAACAAGTTGGCAAGTCCTGAATTCAGCGTAACATACATCTGTATTGATTTAAATAGGGAATTTCAGATCAGTGTGGTTTTCACAGACAGGGAAATGGACAAGGGAGAAGACAAGGTGGAATGTAAGGAAGGAAACACCAAGATTTTCTACATCTTGTTGCATTTCAAATAGCATTATGTCAAGTCATGAATGTCTAAAGGTCATGTCCCTAAAAAAGTAGGACACAGAGGAAGACTTTGGAGGAAAGAAGCTTTGGGCAAGGTTGATGTAAATCCTTCCATTCCTCTCATGACTAGGCTCGCATGGCAGTCCAGTCTGTTTTTCCAATCATCTTCCAGATTTTCACTTTATGTTGAAATAGCGTGTCCTTAACTTGATGCAGATTGGGGTTTCTTTTGTGTAAGTCTCTCATCCTTCATACCATGAATGAATGCAGAACAGTCATAACTGTTAAATAAAATCACAGGAGGAAAAGCACCAGCCAAACATGAAATGCCAAGAGGAATGGATGTAAAGGCTCTGCTTTAAAGTCCGAGTAACATTTTCTTCTCCTTACCTGCAGAAATCAGATGAAAAGATATAAATGTTCTCATCTTTGCTAATCAGCGGATGAAAGGATGTCCCATCTGTTCCATTGATCATGTTACATGTCTCTGTTGTCCACCAGCTCAATGACCTGAAGAAAACCAAGCAAAGATAGTAAGGGTTAGAATATCTTTTGAGCAGTGGTCATGCTTTAGGAAGTTCATGTTTGGCTTCTTAGTAACACACGCTGCCCATTGAAGAGGTGCTGGATACTCAGGCACAAGCTGCCCCAGCCTTGGCTCTGAGTACACAGCAGTAAGGAAACGTGGTGTGTGGGAACACTGGCTGTGTAGATGTGGGAATACTGTCCTGACAGGTGGCTGGGATGGGTGTCCTAGAGAAGGGAAGGGAGAGAGGGTCGCCTCTTCCGAGGGGCAGTTATGGGTTCAGAGGTGAGTAGTCCCAGCAGTCTGCTTACTAAAGGCTGGGATGTCTTCCTTTCAGAGTTACATGACACATACCAAAATACTGGTGGGCTGGCCTGAAGCTGCTAAGAGCTATAAAAGGACCCTTTTTTGGTGAACAATGCTTATGTTCATCCAAATGTGAAAAAGGACAGATTTTGACAGAGACCATACTGAAAAACTTACTCTCTTCCTTTCCATTCCACAATCCTTGAGAAGTTAAGGTAGTTCATTTCCCCACTTAGGAAAACATATTCTCCATCATCAGTTCCGTTCATCTGCAAACAGATACATGAGTTTTTAATCACTCTGCTCATTCTGTAACACCCAGCTTCTAACTTAAACGGGGTGGCAGGAGTTTAAGCTGTCATCACTTCAAATCCACCCCAGAAGTGATGGACTTTCTGTAAGGTAAGTGCAATTCATTAAATTCCACCTTCATTATCAATGATGTGGAAGGATCAGGCTAGATTCTTACCCCTCCCAAGTAAAGGAAATGTAACAGTAGATTAGCCTTTTATTCCTTTGAAATTTGCCACTGAAAAAGAAGCCCTTAGCCAAAAAAATAAACTCACAGAAAATAACCTGAGCACTGCAGATGATCTCCAAGAAACAAGTAGTCCCCACAGTCCAAAATGATGTTGAACCAGAAATACTGTGGAAGTCAGTAACAGCTCCAGCATAGAAATAGCGTGATTGCAATCAATGACTAAGGAAATAGGTCAGGAAATGTTCTAGTAGTTTGCACAACTGGCCCTGCAAACCCCATGTTATTCAAGAGAGCACAGGCAATAGTGGAGTGGTTTGCCCTTGGGAAGCTTATCCCTATGTGATAAAGAGAAGTCAGATAAAACACCCACAGCTGGGCTATAGCCAATGCCTAGATCCAGCCAAACTGAAGAGGGAACATCCATTTGCTGACCCTGCAGCCCATCTCCAGCTTTCCCAACTGGCTGGCTGTGACAGCCCAAACTGTATAGCAACAACATAATTCCCACGTAAAGCATCAGAAAGTCTTGCATGCCAGTTACCTTATTAAAGAAACCAAACACTGGGTCTATCTCAGGATGCAAAAGATGAATGGTTGACAAGAGCCTGTCTTTGTAGCCCCACAGTAATTCATGGACAGTGTGAACTGTGAACAGGGATTCCTGGTACAGAAGCAGCAGCACCTCTGTCGCAAACTGAAGAGGGGTTGACCTGGTCCACTCCATTGCAGTCTGCCGGGGATCAGAATAGGGGAGAAATGGTCAGCTTTCTTGTAGAATAAGTAATACCAACTACAAACACGTTTCAACTGTCTTTTTGGTTTCATTATTTCTACTCATGGCAAGTAAGTGCTGTCTAACAGGTTCTCCAGCTTTTCTCCTACAGGAATGTGCTTCTGCAGGTTCCTCTTCAGCCTGGCACTGCCACACAACCAGCTCAGTTCCATGTCATTAACTGCCATAGTCTTAGGAACGGATTTTAAGTGAAATGTGTAAAACTGCTTTCTAAACAGCCTATATTTCACAAGTATTTTACAGCTGGAGACATGCTTTCAATTTCACCCTTAGGAAGTCATAGTTTACACTTTAAAAAGACAGCCATTTCTCCAAAATGCAAGCAATACCCAAATTTATTTCCTTTCTAGTCGCCAAGTGATTTTACAACATGTCTTTAACAAAGCAAAACCAAAAGAAGGAAATATTCCTTGGGAAAACCAACCTGTAGTTCTCCTCATACTACCTGCTACAGTGCATCACAGTCAAAAATCTGAACAGGAGATAATCCTTACCACCACTCAAATGCCTGGGAGGAATTGTAAACACATTGACTGTATTATTTGTAACTTCTAGTAAGCCGAGTCCTATCTACTACTTTATACAGTGCATCTATGTATTCATTCATAAAGTCAGACAAGACATTTTTTGAAATGCTGAAGGGTAATTAGAAATGAATGCATTCTGTAATTGAAGTCAATTACACTAGTAGAGGGAGCAAAGGCCTAGTTACAAAACTAACAAATATTTTAGTACAGTCTAATTTCCTTTGGAAGACAGGACAGCTTTGGATCTGCTTGTTCTCATACTGTTCCTGTATGAGACCCAAAATGATGGTCTGCCTCTAATCACTCAAATGAGACTTTCTTTGTAGAGTACTTTCACCTTATTCGCCAGTTTTGCTAACTCCTGGAAACCCAACAAGCCTGATCTCTGCTCAGCCCTGCAGTGTGTGTCAGCTTTCAGCACAAGGGTGAAGCACTAACACTACAGGGGTGTATGGCAAAGGAAGAATATAATAAAAATACCCCACAACAGTCCAACCCAAAACTGTGTCTGCCCCAGATATAAGCTGCCTCTCTGGTTCTTCTATCACACTTATCTACCACAAAGACAGAGACAGCATGAAGCAACAAGCTGTGAGTTATGAAGTGTGTTAGGATGACTTCCAAGCAGAAACGAAAGAGAACTCACCACTGCGGGAACATTAACTGTCCTAATCAGGTCCACTTCAGGGTCTCCAACTGACTTCTGAGGTTCAAATACATACGTCTTGGGATTCAGAGCAGATACTTTGGTACCATTGTCCAAAAACTGAACGTGCACTCTTGGCCTGTATTCTCTGAAAAACAAAGAGTTTGTTCTCTAATTAAGTTAAACAAGTACGCGTAACATTAATTGCAATTAACTTATGGCTATTCTACTGCTTTAAGCACATAAAAGGTAGGATTTTCAGTTCACTAGGAGTGGACTAATTATTGCTTCTGCTGCCGTCAGCAACAGAACTCCCCTTTGTATCAGTGTAAGCTGAATCAGACCTCATTGGGCTCTTCCAGAATTGTCACCCCACATGTTCATTTCACTTTGTATTTTGCCTTGTCTTTAAAAACCTCCAAGGAAAGAGAACAATTTTAACAGTACAGAAGGATTTAGAGGCACTAGATATGGGACTGTGCTTAAGTACAATTTGAAAATTAAACTTTGCTGCAGGCAAAATCCACTCTCAGGCACAACAAGACGTAGGCTTCATGTAAGTCTCATTAACCTGACCTAAGAACCTACCAGAATCTTACTGCTTGCTTTAAAGTACTTTGCACTAGGACTTCTGGGCTTACATGTAGCACAGGCATAGAACAAGCCTCATTTTAGCTTCTGTCCTTTAATTTTCAGACAGGAATCCTGAACACAACAGAAATTCAATTGAGTTTTTGCCCTGAACTACTCATGGCCTGGGAAGTTGTTTCTGTTACTGTCTATGCACTCAGACAGACATCGTAAAATTCAAGATTGCTAACAAACAAGTGCAGTTGGCAAGAAACATCAAATGCTACCTGCTGGCATGATGAGGAAGTTACATCTTAATTACCCTGAAACACAGGTCATAACCATAATTCAATCCATGGCAACTACCGTTTTACAAACAAGCAGTATACAGTTCTGCACAACCAGCTTGCTTGGGCTCAGAATGAGCTATATGTGTGTCTTCAGCAAACCAGAAAAGGGGAATGGCAGGTTGTCTGCCTATGGCATGAAACCTTCGGAGTACACATGAAGTGAAATGCTCTGCATTTCCCAAGTCTCCATTCACTCAGGAGTCTGTTGACTTTTTCATTGCTTTGCTTCTAGTGTAGATTTTAAGCTCCACGGTGTGAAAGTGAAATATTCCATGAGACCGTGTGCTATGATGTTTTTCATTCATTTCAGATACTACATCCTATCCCAGCTGCACCAGATCCATCAACGCGGCTGTATTACTCTGGTTCAGGCTCTCAACTGGAAAGGCTGGGGAAACTGTTCCAACCATTTCCCATCTTTCTTGCACAAAGAAGCAAATCTACGGCTCTTCAGCATCTCTACCACCAAGGAACATTTTGGTCTGGCCATCCTTCCAGCCTGACTTGCCAAGAGACAACTACAGCAACCTACTTGTACAGCAACCTACTTTATATCCAGGGCTTGAACTGAGAGGATGGTAAGGGACAGTTATAAGTGCCTTCCCTAAAATAAGCCAGAGTTAACCTGAGAAGCCTTTTCAACTGTAAAAGGGCAGAGGAGGAAAATAATACTCTCTGATTAGGGATACAAGTAGGAGGATCTCAGATGTTAAAGACAAAAAGCTGTATATGTGTGCAAGAGCAGACAATATCGAAGTGTTTTTCGGGCTTAGGCAGATAAGCAGCTTGTACTTTATAATTATTTTATATGCTGCAAATTTAACTTCCAGGATTTTAAAATACAAGCACTACTTTGTTTTTTGTTGTTTCTTTTTTCTGTTACAGAATCTACCTCTGTTGTTCAAAACTATGAACTTGTCCTGGGTTCATCTACAGCAGTCATTTTTTCTCCTTAGCAGCTGGTGCAGTGCTGTGGTTTTGACTTTCAGCTGGGGAACAACGCTGATAACACCAACGGTTTTAGGTGTCGCTAAGTAATGTTTACTCTGACCAAGGACTTTCTCAGTCTCATGCTCTGCCAAGGAGGAGGGGAAGCTGGGAAGAAGCAGAGACAGGACACCTGACCCAAACTGGCCAAAGGGGTATTCCATACCACAGTACGTCATGTCCAGTATATAAATTGGGGGGAGTTACCCAGAAGGCCCAGATCGCTGCTCGGGTCGGGCTGGATATTGGTCGGTGGGTGGTGAGCGGTTGTGTCCTCTCCTCTTGTTATTTCCCTTATCATTATTATTATTGGTGGTAGCAGTAGTGGTTTGTATTATACCCTAGTTACTGGACTGCTGTTATCTCAACCTGTGGGAGTTACATTCTTTTGATTCTCCTCCCCATCCCCCCCAGAGCAGAGGGAGGAAGAAGGGGAGAAGTGAGTGAGTGGCTGCATGGTTCTGAATTACCGGCTGGGCCTAAACCATGACAGAACTGCAGGAAGAATATGCAGGAAGAGATTTATTTAGCCATCCCACCTCCCCTCTGTCACTCAAATTTTTTAACTCTGCTTGTCTGAGCCGGTTTACTTCCAGCCTTTCTCCCCAGTACCCTATTTTATAAGAACACTGAACCACATACTTCATGTTTAAGGCATTTTAGGTGTTACGCCACATGCTAAACCTCAATGAGCCTTTAAGGCTTTGCTACATGGGGCCTGTGAAATAAACGTGGTGTTCATTCTTTGTCTCGAGCATGCCACATCCCTCCCTTCTCCCTCTTCTACCACATGCCTCCTCTCTTCCTCCACCCACTGCTGCTGTCTGGTACTGGCAGTGACAGCCAGGCAAGGATTAAGGAATCCGCTGGAAAAGAGCACTCAATTCCCTAACTTTCCTCTTCCTTCTATCAGATTGAACACAGAACAACCAAATCCTGTTTGGACGTGTCAAAATCAGGCTAACCAAACAAGCCAGAAGCAACTGAAACACACAGCCTCCCTCCCTCCCACTGCAATAAACAATTTAGGGAGAGTCTGCATCACCCAACTGGCTCACAGCCAGCCTGTTGTGTTGAAGGGGAAGGCTCTCCCAGCAACTCATAAACAAGAAGCTCAGGCTGGGCCTCCCCTTGGGAACAGACTAACCCAGCCAGCTACACCACCAGCCCCGTCCATCCCATCACACTCTCTCATGGATAAAATGCAGCTTCACAAATGGGGCTATGCATGAAATCCAGAAGACAGAACTAAGAAAACAGGAAAAATTTAAGGTAGCTAAGGGGATTGAGTACCAGGCTACAGAAGACCATGGACCTACGTGGTTTCGTGTAGCTGTACTACACCTAGAGCTGACCCTATTTATCTTCCTGACAGAGAGAATGCATGGCTGACTAATTATGAGCATTATACTATAAAGACCTGAAGAAAAGCTTAGGAAGTTGAAAGCTTATGTCTTTTCTCCAGCTCTACCAGTTTATCTAAGATGAGGTATTTTGCCATGTAGTTTGCCAAGGCTAAACAGACACGGTACTGAAATAGAGAGGAAATGCGAAAAAAGATTGATGGCAGAGGGTGAAGCAAAGCTGAGGTGTGGGAGGAAAGAAGCAGAAAGGCAAGACGTACTGCAGAGAGCAAAGCTACCACAAAGGCTCTCCCTTTTATGCTACAATATTTTTTTCAAGCACTAACAACCAGATTCTGATCTTTTTGCAGCTCCTTCTGGCACTGAGCTAGTGTGCAGTCTGAATGAGTGTGTGTGACTAGAAGCGAGTCTGACAATGAGAAATCAACCTTTTGCCGTGGTTTTCATACCTCCGTAACTTCAAAGACCATACTACTTTCTGCCACAGCACTGCTCCTGGCTTACACTGCTGCATGTAGAGCAGAATGAAGCTCTAAAGGAAAACTCATTTGTAAGGTGACTTCAGAATCCCTCTGTGTGCAGCAGATTGTTTTGTGTGCAACCATATCACACGGAAAGTTCAAGAGGCCAGATAAAGTTCCAACACTGCACATAGCTGTAGTAATTCTATCAGTCTGTCCAAATGGTAGGTATGTCTGAATCTAAGTAGGTTTTACAGTGGGGATTGGCTGAGGAAGATCCTTATAGTACCACTCTCTAACTGGTTTTCTGGCCACATTTTTACCCATGTGAATTGTGCAACTTCAGCTGGGAGGTAATTTCTCAGTGACACATGAATCATCCTCTCCCCAGACTCTCAAACCCCACACTAGACCAGGATGCAAACAACTTCCTCTGTGTTCAGCAGCTGAAGAACAGCAGCACACAAGCAAAATCTTGTCCAACATCTGATACAACTTTCTGGGTTAATCCAAAACTGACTGCAGGTACTCCAAATGTCAGTCTAGCTGTACTGCCTGGGTGGTATAGGATGATGCTCCCTTGAATGTGAGTAATCACACATTAATAGCTAGTTTTTGCTCATAGAACTGGATCCCAAGCACTCTGGATCCCACTTTCTGGCTTCCTCACAGACAACAGGTTTAGCGAGATGTGCAAACAGTGAAATGATGATCCTACCGGTAGGTGTATGGCCCTATTTCCTCTACAAGAGGAGTATCACCTTGAAGCACTTCCAAAGGATTTGTCACATTAAAGAAGTAGAACTGCATGTAGACTGGTGGAGGAGGATCCTCCCAGGCTTCAAAGGTTTCCGTGCCATTTTTCAATACTGTTCCCTGAAACAAGAGGAAGACAGATTGGCTGTTAACAACAGATGCTGTAAAATATTTATAGGAAAGAAGGAATTCTATGCTCTCAGAATAATCTCCGGCAATAGAATTTGAGACTTCAATTCTACAAATGCTTATAAATATGTTTTTGAAGCATCTCACTAAATATCAATAAGGTCAGACACACGCTACAGGCTCACAGGCTAGGGGCACACCTTTATTGCCTTTGCTGTTCTACTTCTTCCCACAAACACTTCTGCCTGACATTTTTCAGAATGAAGACTTACCAGCTATTACACAGTGATCCTGTGCCAGCAAAACCCTAACCTGGTATAAGATACCATAAACAGTTAATTTCCTACAGCAATGAGAGCACATGCAACTCCAGACCCATGGACTCTTAGTCTATTTTGTAACCAATAAAACACAGACCTACAAAAGAAAAGCTATAAATGGTTATTTTATGAGAGAAGCACTTAAGTAATGGATCAGTAATTTCTTTACCTACCAGCATATACATGTTTTAACGAAAGTCACAACCACAACCTCTAGGTAGCTCCATTAGAAATATATAATAAAGGTCTCAACCACTTGTTTTATTACCATTCCATTTTAGTTAAAACTCACCCCAGTTACAAAAGTATCACCACCAAAATCAAGGCTTTTCATATAGTTACCACACTGGTTCTGCCACTGTGGTAGTAGTAAAGAAATTTGGCTTGCAGAGTGGAATTTTCAGAAATAAACACAAAGAAAACTACATCTTTGAAAACCTATCACCTGTAGGCAAAAGAAGGAAAGGGGGGAATAATTTGCAATTAAATGGGTCTCATCAGCGCATGCTCTTTTTATTCTTTACAGAAAACAAGTCAAATACTGTAAGTCCAAGCTGAAAAGCAGACCAGACTGGACAACTGCCATTCCTTGGTTACTGTTTATGGGGCCTTCACTCACTTCATCAGCCACATTTGCCTCAGGACTCATTCTTGGCCTTCCCATTTAAGGAGCTGTTTTCTCTCCACGTAGTTTTTCATTTTGAATGACTAGATAAAGAGAAGACTCTTTCAAAGACAAACTTACTGGCAGGAGCTTGGAATGGCAGCAGTATTGCTGAATGGCAATGAAAGCCAACCCAGCTGGTAGCACTTCCCAGTTGCAGACCGCTTCCCAAGGGAATTTCAGGCCATGTATTCTGTGCACACTATTAAAAATAACTTATTTTAGACACGCCTCAGGAGCTTTCAGCACTTCTTTGGAACTACCAGCACCTCATATATACCATTTCCTACATAGCCCAATGCTTTTGATCCTGTGTTCTTGTGATCTGTGACAAGGAGGCTCCTCTCTATTCAGCCAGAGCTCTCCTGAAGTTGGTTTGTAGGATCAGGAATAGAAAACCTCCCCAAATCAGACATAGCATTTCCATGGTTCCACCTTAAAGGGCTGGGAGCAAGACAGCAATGTACTTAACATACCTCCAGATGACTCTGACAGCTTTTCTCCGTATGCAAATAACCACATTCTAAAGTCACCTTATTTCCAAAGTGGCGATGTCTGCTCCTAAGTTGTACAAAGCTCCCCTCTCTCACGTGCATGAAACTCCACAACTGGAGCCAGTTTTAGGCTCCAGTCAATCCCTTATGATGGTGAGATCACCTTTATAATGTGCAGGGAGGCCATGGCCCCCGTGCCCCTCTCCTGAGCTAGACTGAACACAAGAAGCTCCTCAACTCAATGTATCAATGCTAAATGCAAGGTGGGTTTCTACCATGCTCTCTCTCTATACATGTATGCATCAGATTACATGCAATAAGCATTAATAAGAAGGAAATGCAAGAACTTTCATCTGGCAGGTCAGTTTAAACACAGGCTTTTGAGATTTTGAAATCACAAGTGATCCCCTGCGAGATGGACTATGGAGCAAAAGGGTAGTGAAACAAAGTCATCTGGGTGCCTTCCTTCCTGGATCTGCCTGGCACCATTTAGATCTCCCACAGAAATGACATGTATTTATAGCTCTGTACAGTGACAGCTCCAGTTATAAACCCAGATTCACAAACCTCTGAGCTGGAGTCAGGCAGACCCTGTGAAACTGTCAAATAATGAAATATGCTAAGCTCTTTTCTTCTGTTTTTCACCAAATGTTGCCCAGTGGGTCTATCACATGGTATTACACAGCCTAGACTGAGAGAAAAAAACAAGCACGTATTTTTGAGCAAAACATATGTCCATGTCCCGCAGCTGATGGCATCCAGGGTTAGCTCTGCTGCCTGTCCTCCACACCAGAGCAGGATCTGGTGTTACGTCACTAAGTTTTTTTATCAGAGCTTGTGTTCACTACTAGGTTGGGCAGACTGCAAGATGCTAGATCACAGCACTGCTTTTTAATTGAAAATATGTAAAAGACACAGCTCTGCTGTCATTATTGCTGCTGTATTGTAAGGCTAGAGAATCAGATTTTTCCTCTTGTAAATTTATATGCAAGAAAAAGAGATACAAATTATTCAGAAGCCTCAAGTCAGACACTAGGCCAGCAGGAAGTAGCCTACAGAGGTCTCAGAGAGATACAACACAAGGACAGATGCAACACAGGGTATACCTACTGCAAGATCACAGCCTAAAACCAGTGGACGATATCATCTACTGTCTTTCATTCAGAAGCAGGGCAGGGGTTCTCCTTTCCAAGTGGAGTCCACATTCACTTCAAGTGTGCCAAAGCATCCTTTCTACTCACTTAATTTATCATGCCGCTTATTAGCTGGTGTTTTCCTTGTCTTGACCATGCTTCACATAAAAGAAATAAAAAGCAGGCTTCCCTTACACCAAGTTACTGTTACTGTAGTGATAGTGCGTGGGAAATGGTGCTGAACATTTCTGGAACCTACACAGAAAGGAGCATCTCCACCGATCCTTCATATAAGCCTCCACACTGAACTGTGCTGGGAGCTCTAGTATTTCAAAGTAAACAACAACAGCAAAAATGATCAACAAAGAAACTAAATCAAGGGATGAGGTATCTTCCCTGTCCTTCTGGGCCCTAAACACTCCAGAAAATCCAGCTCCAGAGATGGCTGGCAACAAAAGTCCAGTGACATTTCAAGGGTTTAGAAGTCTTAAGTGTTCTCTAAAATAATCAGTGTGAGGTATACGGCATAAAGAATCACAGAATCATAGAATCACAGCCTGGTTTGGGTTGGAAGGGACCTTAAAGCTCATCTAGTTCCAAGCCCCTGCCATGGGCAGGGACACCTTCCACGAGACCAGGTTGCTCCAAGCCCCGTCCAACTTGGCCTTGAACACTGCCAGGGATGGGGCAGCCACAGTTTCTCTGGGCAACCTGTGCCAGGGCCTCACTTGAGGTAGAGGACTGACTGCCCAGGTTTGGAATTGGGTGCAGAGATCAAAGGTTTTTATATTCATAAGCTGCAATGGCAGCAATGGCAGTAAAAGACATAAGCATGTAACCAACAGAGAACACGGGGCAACCACTGGTAGGAGCTAGGAAGGACTTTCTCCTGTGGGCAGCTAATCTATTCTTTTTCATTACACAGTTTTTCCCATTATTTGCTGGTATTTCAAGTGTCAGCCCCTGACAATGAACAGATACTGATGAGATGGACATCTGAGTGGCATGGCACCCTAAGTTCCAAAAAGCCAGTAATACTGACAAATAAGACAGAGAATAAGTTGACAATACTTGAATGCCTTCTGGGAAAGGTGCTCCCACTGTCCTTGTCACAACACATCTCCCTGACGATTTTCAAGGAAGTATGACACCAGGCTGGATTCCCCACTCTTCCCACACCCTCTCTGTACCCAAGCACCCTGCCTTTGGCCAGAAAGGATGCACCACACAAAACCCCCACTGAAAGCCAACCCATCCTCAGTGGTTCACAGGTCCTGGGTTTGGACACAGAAGTGCTTCGGCTGCTCCAAAACTCTTGACTGTAAGTCAGCTCTGTTTCAGGACTGCTGGGAAGCCCTCAAAGGAGCATGGTGCTGGAGCGTGTCCAAAGAAGAGCAACGAAGCTGGAGAGGGTTTAGAAACAAAGTCCTATGAGGAGCAACTGAGGAACCATTGTTGTTCAGTCTGGAGAAAAGGAGGCTCAGGGGAGACCTTATTGCTTTCTACAGCTACCTGAAAGGAAGATGGCACGAGGTGTGGGTCAGTCCTCTCCCAGGTTACAAATGATAGGACAAGAAGAAATGGCCTCAAGCTGCACCAGGGGAGGTTTAGACTGGATATTAGGAAAAATTTCTTCACCAAAAGGGTTGTCAAGCACTGGAACAGGCTGCCTGGGGAAGTGGTGGCATACAGGGACATGATTTAGTGCTGAACTTGACAATGATGCGTTTATGGCAGGGGTTTAGTGAAGTTTCTTTCACTAAGGATGTAAGGAGGAGCTATTTGCCCTCAGTTCAGTAAGAGATCTCAAGCAATGCAGAGAAAAGTTGGACTCGATTTCAAAGGTCTTTTCCAACCTAAATGATTCTATGAACTACCTGTCATAAGGACAATCTCTTGCCCCTGCTGCAACTCCTACAGTGACAGAGTGGTTGAGGCTAGGAAGGGCCAGAGCACAGAGGTAATGTTTCATGTCCCATGCCCTGCCCTGCAGAGAGCTGGAAAAGCTCAAGTCTTACCACATTTCACAGGCAAATTGAGATTTGTCTATTTGCACAAAGCTGCACACATGGCTACAGAACAGACAGCAGCTTTCTAGACTACACGTCAATGAGAAAAAGTTCATGTGAGATAAAGCACACGTGGAAAGCAGCTGAATCAGCAGAGTAACTGGGAGCATGCTGCAGTTTGGGGATGTGACTCCCACAGAAGGCCAGGAGGGAAGCTGGCACAGGGTGCAGGACACTGGATTCTGTGTAATCCAGGCGTAAACCAGAATGAGCTGAAGAGTGGTAAGCAGGGTAAGACTGAGGTCTGGAAACTTTATCCTGCATTACTGGAAGCTCTGCTGAGTGAATACCAACTTACTCTTACATAAGGAACCATTAAGGGTAAGGAGCATGCAGCTAAGAGGTAATACGCATAAGGAGGATCACGCCTAATTCCTGACAGCTCTACACTCTCTCATCAAACCGTGGTTTTATATCCCACTGCTCTTTTGACAAGAGCATGAAACAGACTCGAAACCAGGAGTTCTACTGCGATGAAGACGATGGCGGGGTCCTTTACAAAGACCTCAGATCTGGGACATGAGGCTTCACATGTCTACACAAAGCTGCACTGCTTTGCATGCAGCTTTGTA